TTAATCTTGCGAAGTTGATATAACTCTCCAAAAATGGCTTTGTCAGTTATCTTTTCCTTATTATGATATGTTTTTTTGCTATTATTACTAACCATATATTATATTTTAGTATGTTTTTATATGATTATATTTTTATGCAATATCATTTCGAAATAAATAGTTCCTTAAAATCCCCCTTCTTTCCAAATCGGTAATACTCTGACGATATTCCCTTTTATGATTTAAATACAGATCTTTTAGACAAGAATCACAAATCTTTTTATTTTCTTTCGAAATTTTATTTTCTTTCGAAATTTTATTTTCTTTCGAAATTTTATTTTCTATTCAATATTCTCAGTCATTTTTTAAACTATATCTTTTTTTTCATGGAACATACTTAATTAAAAATCATTCCTGACAGCGAAAACATTTGGCAATTAATGGCTCTACTTCTGAAGGTTTCATATATTAAAATTTTATCTTTTTCGTTATTTTTGCTGCTTTCCCTTCTCCTTCTCTCCTTAAAAACCACTCTATCTTATCCTTGATAACATTAGAGAAAAGAGGAAGATGACTCAAAAATTTTGAGGTTTTGGAATCACAAAGTATATAAAATATAACCATATAGTAATTTTACAAGTTTGCGAAACTTGATTTCTTTGAAAACTAAATAAGATTAATTTCTGAGAAAGATTGTAAAAAAAGCATGTTATTGCCTTTCCGTAGTCTACAAAGCGGTGGGAAATTTAAACAGTTTTGCCCTGGATTTAACGAAAATTACTAATAGCCAGGTTTTAATATTCGGTTATCAACCTCCTCAATCTCAGATAAAGTCATTGAAAGAAGATAATATTTCTTTTTTTAGCAGCAAAATTATCTATGAAATTGGGGAAAAATTGGACCAAATTATTGATAGTCAACAAGAAATAGAAGAAGTTGAGGAAATCGTGGGAACAGCGGTCGTGAAAGTAGTTTTTGAATTTTCCAAAGGCAATATTGCGGGTTGTCAAGTAACTGAGGGCAAAATTAGCCGTAATAAGCGGGTTTATGTGTTGCGTGGTAAAGAAGCCCAGAAAATTTTCACCGGTGAAATTAAAAGTTTAGAGAGTAATAAAGCGGAAAAAAACGAAGTCAGCAGTGGTCAGGAGTGCGGAATCGTTCTCAAAGGATTCAATAATTTTCAAGAAGGAGACAAA